TTGTTAAGGTTTTCAATTGTCGTAATGGCTACCGTTTCAGCGGCTTGACTAGTGGCTAATTCTCCGTTTTTGGTCTTTAAATGATTTATTTCTCTTTCTTGCCGTTCGTTTTCCAATTTTAGGTCAGCCGTGGTTTTCTCTAATTCTCTAATATTATTCTTAGCTTCGGCTAGTTGTGATTTTAATTTCTCATTTTCTTCCTGTAAATCACTAAGTTTTTTTCCTCTTTCTTGAAAAGACTTATTTAATTTTTCTAATTCTTTTTTACAATCACCCCAAGCTTTCAGTAATCGCTCCTCTTCCATGGCAAACTTTTTTCTTTCCTCTTCAATATTTCTCCAAGCCTCTTTAATCACGGTAGCATGTTCTTTACTGCCATTGGCTTCGGCTCAATCAAGTATCTCTTTCATTCGTCGTTCTTCTTCTTTCTTTTGCTTATCATCTCTTCTTCACCAGTCAAATATACCTAATTCATGAATGAATTGATACATCGCTAGTCCATTAGTGATATTTATGGTCTGATTTTTGCTGACCTGCGAGTGAGAAGTTTGTAAAAAACTAAGATTTTCGCTAATTTCCTTTTTTTCGGCTTCGCTTTGCCTTATTTTCTCGCTTAACTCTCCCACAGTTTTCCTTAAAACTTCCGCTTCGGCTTCCGTATTTTCTAAGGCACTGGTTAACTCCCCACTAACCACTTGATAACCACTAATTATTTTCTCCTTTTCCTCACCCAGTTTTTTTATTACTGAGTTTAATTGCTTATTTTCCGCTTGTTCATTTTCTCATTTTTTTATTATTTTTCACTGCTCCTCCTGTTGCTGATGAAAACCTTCCAATTCCCGAGTTAATTCTTGAATAGTTCGTTCATTTTTAGCAAGGGCTTTTTGGCGATTTTCGACCACCGCGAGATTTAGCACACAAGCGGAGCAGTTTTCCACTTTTTCCTTACCTTTGACCTTGGGGGTGATAACCGGAGCGGGAGCCTTTTCTTCCCTAAAAGAGTTAAATTGTTGGTGTAGTTCCCTAATTTCTTCGTTTAATTCTTCATTAATCTTTTCTAATTCACTAAGGCGGGTTGAATTATCAAGTTGTGGCGAATTGGGCTGGCTATTTTCTCAGCGAGCCGGAAAATAACTATTTGGTTCACTCCTTAACTCCTCCGAAAGCAACTTTCCCGCCGGACTGCCCGAGGAACTACTCAACGAACTTGTGCTGCGTCGCTTTTTCATTCTTTCCAATTTTTCATAATTATGTTGAAGAGTAAGGTTTTCCTCTTCTAATTGGTAATAATCGGCAACCGTGATAAAACGAGTGATAATTTGACCTTTTTCATTCTCAGTTTCAATTTTTAGCACGGACTGGCGATTAATTTCTAGTTCTTCTTGGGTGGCTTTTAATTCGGCTTGGAGTTGCTCAACCTCCGCAAATAATTTATTTTTTTGCTCGGTTAAACTATAAATAGAGTAATCTTTATCTCTTAATTTATCCCGAAATTGAGCCGTAAAATTAATTCTTTCTTTAATTTCCTCCTCTTTATTTTTTAAGGCTATTTTTAGATGGTGATTTTTTCCATCAAGAGCCTTATTGAAGAGAGTTAAGTTTTCTTTTTCCTTTTCGGTATTGGCAAGTTGCGAAACCAAATTTTCGATATCTTTATCTTTTAATTCTTCCTTTTTCGTGGCAACCAAGGGCGAAGGTTTAACCACTGAACTTGCGGATTTTTCTTCTGCTAAATCATTAATCATTTTCACTTGTTTTTGATTGGTTTTTTCCAGTTCTCGGGCTTGTTTTTCAATCAAATTCAACTGGGAAATTAGAGCCTCCCGTTCTTTTTTAAAGGTTTTTCTTTCTTCCTCTCACTCTTGTCGAACCTCCAAAAAGGCCTCGATTTTTTCATTAACAAGATTTTCTAACTGCTTAACCGTGCTGGAAATCTGCTGTAAAGCGGAATGATAATTCGTGCCAGTGGTTAAATTATGAATGTTAGTGGTTTCCACCAGTAAAATAGAGTTCAAATAAATATTTAAATTTTCTAAAATACTTTCGGGGGTGATTTCTTCGTGGGCGAGGGTCGCACTATTAATCCAATTAATTATAAATTCCAATCCCGCCCTTAAATTATCTAAACTGAGCGGAAGTTTTTGGATTTCAACCACGCGACTGGTTTCTTCTTTTTGTAAATTTTCTATTTTATTTTTGAGTGTTAAAAACTTATTATTGATGTTCATAATAACTATTATTTTATATACTATTATTTTATATACTATTATTTTATATACTATTCATGGTGCAAGTTTTAACTAGAAAGTCAAAAATCCTCCCCCTCCCCCTGGTTTTGCCTTATTAATTTTTGTTAATTTTGTTAGATTTAGTGGAAGAAATTTTCTAATATAACCCCCCACGAAAAAAAGTAAATTTATTTTTCGGAAAAAGGGGACTAATTTGGCAGTTGCTTATAACTTCTTAATATCTTTTGCCTTGGTTGTTTTTAATTTTCGTTTACTAAAACAAAAAACTAGTTCCGCCTTGCCTTGAACTGTTCCATTAGCAATATATTGTCGCAAAAGAGTTTGCTTTTTTTTATTGGTTATTAAGCGATGAAATTCCCACTTATGATTATGATAAAGTTTCACAAGACAATCATCACAAATAAACTTATCTTTAATCTCCTCCGCTTCGGTTCAATATTCTCAATCATTCTTTTTACTAGGCTGTTTAGTAGAGCGAACTCACTTAACCTCAATCGAGTTATTACAATGAAAGCAATTAGCAAACTGAGAAGGGTCTTTTTTCTTTTTTAACACTACAATTATATTTTTTTTAATTTAGGATGGTTAGTTGGTTGTTTTTTT